CAAATAAAATAGTTCTCACAAGTATTTAGCAGGATGCTGGTTTTCACTAAAAAGTAATATAATTGCTTTAACAGAAAATTACATTTAGAGTGATTTTTTTTCTTTTTAAGGAAGATTAGCCCTGAGCTAACTGATGCCAATCCTCCTCTTTTTGCTGAGGAAGACTGGCCCTGGGCTAACATCCATGCCCATCTTCCTCTACTTTATATGTGGGATGCCTACCACGGCATGGCTTTTTTGCCAAGTGGTGCCATGTCCGCACCTGGATCCGAACCAGCAAACCCCAGGCCACCAAGAAGTGGAACATGTGCACTTAACTGCTGCGCCACCGGGCCGACCCCTAGAGTGATATTTAGATTTTGAGTGATTTAAGAAAATGTTAGTAAAATAAAGGATATACCTATGAGATAATTTAAATAGAATTTTCTCTGCTTGACACCAAAATAGTGTTCTAAGAAGGTTGTAGAAATTGACTCTAGAACTTGGTGATTTTTGTATTCAAATATGTCACTTGTCTACCTTGATTTTATTAAATAGTATCTTATTAATTAAAAAGAAGCCAATATGGTGTTCTAAAGCTGAAGTTAATATTAAATGAGGGACTAAAAAGCATTAAAAGTGTTAAAACATTTATCTTTATTTTTTATTTTATTTAATTCACTCATAAATTATCCTAAAGAAAACTTGTCCTCCTGTCCCTCGCAGTGGGACATGCCAGGTCAGTTTATTCAAACAGTGATACATTTCTTTAATATGCTTCTTGGCAAACTGCCTAGAGAAGAGAAACAAGTTCTAATTTTTAAATACTCCAGACAGCTTATTAAAATTTAGGCTGAAACACAAAACTAATGCAGGCAGACCAACCACATCTGGGATCCAGCGTGCACTTTTTTATGGGCCTTGTTGATTCCAAGAGATTTATTTGATTGAACACATAAGCAGAAATAACACTGTTCTTGCTAACTTGCTATTTGTATAAATTTGTGTTTTTAAAATAAGTTAGAAGTGTGCACTAAATCCAATTTGCTGTTGAATTTTATTAAGTATCTGCAGGATAGCATAGAGTTATTTGACCAAACTCTTCCTCTTTGCCATGGAGAAGCGTTACCCATTGAAAACCGTGAACTCAAGTGGATGAATAAGTCTAACGGAGACAACAGGATCATATGAAAATGGTTTGTCAGATTTTTTCTTCTACTTCTGCACTCTCACGTTTACATACTCTCCTTTCTTTTATATGTACACATAAATAAATGTGCGCAAAATGGTGAAAGATGGATCATACCCCTGAAGGCTTACTTTTTGGCTTGAAGATTTAGGCAGAATACCACACATTCAAAACAAATAGATTATTTCTAATATTCAGCAGAAAATTAGAAGTCTTAGACATAGACTCATGTTTCCCAAATAAATTTTTGCAGTATATGAAAACAACAGATTGGACCTTCAAGTACTTGCTTTTCAGATTTGATTACCTACAATGCCGAAATACCTCTGGTGACTACAGGCTTCCCATTTCAAATAGTTCTCAGTATCATTATATAGGTCGTTAAATACGTTTTAGGTCCACAAGTGGGTTAAATTTATATTATTTTTCTACTATGAGGAATAAGGGATAATTATTATCTGTTCATTGCCCAAGAGGAAAGTTAGTTCCCAGAAACAAAATCTTGGTTAAATTTTGTTGTACACTACTTCAAACACAAATTGCCCACCACAGTTTAAGACTTGGATCTATACATAGGAAAATTTCCTGTCTGAAAATTTAATAAGATATATCATATGGAAAATACAGAGCTCCTGGAATAACTTGTAAAATAATTTAGAAAATGAAATTGTGTAAAATGTGTAACCACAGTATATAAGTAATGTTTCCTCTAATAATCATTAATGATGTGGTTATAACCAGACTTTCTGTAGCACTCTTCTTGTTATTTTTTTATAACTTTACAAATGTGGCTTTCTGCACCAAAACTGACCATACTTACTCACACCCTGCCCCCTTGTTTTGAACAAGTCTAAGGAAAATGTGCACAAATATTAATTTGTTTGAAGTTGAAATACACATGCTTATGCTATTTTAAGAAAAGTTTAATGGTTGCAACATTTCAGTTCTCAGAAACTTGGAGGAAATATTTCTTGTGTATGCAATGAAGCCAGTACCAAAGTATTAGTAAATGGAAAAATTATACTTGTTCAAAATCCATTAACCATTTTACAGCTCCATAGAATTGTATGAACATTTAAGACATGTTCGACAAGCAAATAGCCAAATAAAATGTGTTTTGACACCTAAAAAAGTTCCATTAATTTTTATTATTTCTCTTCCTCCTTTTTTATATAGCATGTACAAAGTAGGGAAAGAAATTGAAGGCAGCAATTATGGTCCTATATTTCTGTATATGAAATTTATTTTTATAAAGGTATTCACTTGGGTGACCCAGAATTTACACAATTATTCTCACCCTGGAACGGCAGAGGTAAACACAGAGACCCACTCTTTTCTGTCCTCTATCGTCAGGTAACCTCCACATTCCAGGGAGGAAAACGTTGACGTGCCTGTTTCTACCTTCCAGCAAACTATCTGAGGTCCAGATTCCTGGAGTGTTGGCTATGGATACAATATATGAATTTAAAGTCAGATAGACAAGAGGTCAACATCAAGCTCTCCCATCCTTACCTCATCTGCTATTGACCCCCAGGGTCCTCATCCCTAGAACTGGGTGATGATGAATAACACCTGCCTTAGAAGCTGACGTGAGACATTCTGGACAGGAATTAGCACAGGATCTGGCATGTAGTAAATGCTTAATAAAGCTTATTACTATTTTACTACACGAGGAAAGATAACTCTAAAACAGGAGGATAGAAGCTACCTTTATTAACACTTACTAGTGTGCCAGGCACCGTGTGGGTACTTTACATGTGTGACCTAATTTCACCCTTACAATATTGTGAACCCATTTTACAGACAAGACAATGAACAGGGAGCATCCTTTGGTCCCCAGCAGTCCAAGAATCTTATCATTTTGCAGCTCTTTTGAACTATCCCTGGTTTAAAGAGGTTAACAGAAAAGAACATATCCTATATCTACATGAAAAATAATAATTTCTGGGGCCGGCCCGGTGGCACAGCGGTTAAGTTTGCACGTTCCACTTCGGTAGCCCAGGGTTCCCCTGTTCGGATCCTGAGTGTGGACGTGGCACTGCTTGGCAAGCCATGCTGTGGTAGGCGTCCCACATATAAAGTAGAGGAAGATGGGCATGGATGTGAGCTCAGGGCCAGTCTTCCTCAGCAGAAAGAGGAGGATTGGCAGCAGTTAGCTCAGGACTAATCTTCCTCAAAAAAAAAAAAAATAGTAATAACAATAATTTGGTGAAACTTTCCTCAATTTGGCAGATATTACCACGTTAAACAAAGGTTTTCTTTAATATTTCCTTGAATTAAGATGCGACTAGATGGAATTCTATAAATTGGGATATCAATTACCTTTTTACGGGTCTATTTCACTTTGTTTGTTATAACAGATTTGGAGTTAGGAGTTTGTTCTACTTCTGGCTAATACACATAACTAGTTTGATTTGCTTCTGTAGTTTGATTTCAAAGATGAATTTGGGTTTTGTTTCTTTAACCTTCATTCTTTGATAATAAGACCAATGAAATCTTCAAATGCCCAGAATAAAGCTAAATATCAAAAATAAATATGTAGAACACGTATATACAAACTAAACACTTAAAATCCAATCAATGCCAAATTTTAAGCTCTATTTCTGATACGAACCCAATCTCACAGGTGTGTGTGTGTACATATGTGCGTGTAAAACAAAGTTTGTTTGACTCAGAAAGTATATGATAAAAGCAAATATTAAACATTTACCCTCATCATACTACACATAGAATGTATACTAATATATTACCTCTCGAGTATCTAATGCAAAGAAGGAAATATTTGAGGAAATGGTGCAATTCACAGGACTGTTTTTCTTTTCTTTTCTTTTCTTTTTTTGGTGAGGAAGATTGTCCCTGCCCTAACACCAGTTGCCAATCTTCCTCTTTTCGCTTGAGGGAAATTGTCCCTGAGCTAACATCTGTGCCAATCTTCCCCTATTTTGTAAGTGAGACACCACCACAGCGTGGCTTGTTGAGTGATGTGTGGGTCCATGCCAGGGATCCGAACCCATGATCCCCGGGCCCCTGACATGCAGTGCAGGAAGTTAACCACTACACCACTGCGCCAACTCCCACAGGACTTTTTGAAAATGAGAAATCATTACAGTTAATGAGTGAATTAGGATTATAACTCAGCAGTGGAATGCACTAACCAAATTCAAAAAAGCTTTGCACAGATAATCCTCAACCTGCTTAATTTATGAATGGAGCTATAGGTATTTCCCAAGTCTTTAAAAGGCAGAGCTCGACATTAAGAGAGAGTATGACTTTTAGGATTAACAGCAACCAGAAAGGAAATTTTAAGATGCAGTCAAAACTTTGATAATATTGATAATATTATATAATCAGCTATGTGGCTATTGTTAAAATTCTTTTCTTAAAAGAGAAAAACTGAAATTTGAGGTGCTTTTATTACTCCATTAGTGTCATTACAGAAAAACATTTTTAACAAAATATGTGTAAATAGAAATTTTCTAAAATATTTCCTGAATAAATGTTTTTCATTCCTAAAAGACAAATTAGATAATAGTTTATGTAACAGTGCTGTTCTTTTAAACTCTAAATTATCAGGACTTTATAGTTAAGATGCACATATGTTCCCCTTAGCTTCATATATACTTATATATAGTTTCATATATATATATATATATATATATATATATATATATGAAGCTAAAAGGATCTTGCAAAATAAAGATGCGCATATTTTGCAATCTTTCATATACATATATTTCTACCATCCTCTTAACACCCAGCAAGGAGAAAGAATCTGCATTAACTAAGGATTACCCTTGATTCTTCACGTGTTAATGGATGAGCCTTAAAAGATTTATAAAATACCTAGAGTCAATATAAAACTTGTGTATGATATTTTGCACCTTTCTGATGGTGGATTTACAACTTTCCCAAAGGTTAATAAAAATTATTCAAGACAGAAAAAAGCCATGCCTGAGTGGTGGTGGAATAGTGGGTGCACACACTGTGGTGTGGTAGCCTGTTTTAAATCTCACTTTTCCCACAGGGTTGTGTAATCCTCTTTAAGTTTCTTGGTATTTCTGAGCCTCATATCCCTAATCTGTAAAATAAAGACAATAGCAGCAGATAGTTCAGAGGGACTGGCAATGTGTTCTTATGATCATATATTCTGGTAAAATTTGCAAAGTTGTATAGTTTTTAATAGAGACATCCCCCAAATTGTGTAACTTCATACCCCACCAAAACTGAATCCCTCTCTTTCACCTCAGGGATCTTATTGGGGTTAAATTAGAGAATCTACGTAAAGCCAGAACACGGAAAACACTCGATTAGTGTGCATTATCATTATTATTAACTATCATAAGCAATCTGCTTGTGTTTATTTTTCCCATTGCTATATATTATTGAGTATTTCACATCTTAAATGGTATGGGTTAGGGGTGTTTAAGAAAGAGCTTGGTGTGTTAACAGAGTTTTCCGCTCAGCAATTTAGAAAGAAAAATAGTACAGAATATATTCATCCAAATGTTAGACTTACTGATACCAGCTTATGAAGGGATAGCTTTTAAAATATAATCAAGACCATGTTTGCATTTTGGCCAAAAAAAAAAAAAAATCCAAGACACTTCTTCAGAGGACACTGAAATACTCTGCAGAGTACACTGGCCTGAGTGAGATTCCAGACTCTCTTCAGGTGGCTGTGGCGAGAGAAGATGAGCAAATGGTGAACTCAGCAGAAGTGCACAAATCGTGTCGTATCTATACAGAATCATCCAAATATCAGAGATTTAGCAATGTACACAAAGATAGCCATGCCAATTTCTGAGTCACAGTTTCACAATTTGGGACATAGGATATACCTATTTCACATTAATAATGTAAATCACACGATGTCTATTTTACTATGAACAATACAAATGCCATCATATCTTTTAATCACATACCTAGAAGTTACAGACACAAGCTATTTCTATAAATTATGACCAATCACTCAAAGGATCACAATAAATATTATTGACTTGTGCTTAAGCTTCACCTTTTGAATTTTCTATTATTTTATTCAAACAAAAGAGATATATACATGCATTAGTTATGATAAATTCACCAGGAAAATATGACTTGTATTTCAAATAATAGAAGTCTGAATATTACCTTCACTGAATCAATGAGTCAATATAGGAATTTATTACCTGCTTCAAGATAAAACAAATTTAAGATAAAAATGTTAGAGATGGCTCTAGCAACAGCTGAAATCCAGAAGCAATATTGATTTATACACATATAGAATTGCCTTTTGAATCACTTTTAATGTGAACAACGTATATTTTTTAATGGAAAGTCCTGGTCAGAGAAAAACTCTAGGTATGTTTGCCTTGTCTTTTCTGAGTCAGTCATGAAATCGTCTACGAATTAGCTGAGTAATAGTAAGCATGAGAAAATTGTTTACTTCTGCTCTGCTCAGTAGAGATAGAAAGGTGAGTAAGTTCTTTCCAGGTAGTGAGTTGAATGGCAAAATCACAGTGCCATTTCCTGCTTCATGCTGTGTCCATTTAGTGAAACAGAATTGGTCACCACATTCTTAACATTGCTTTTCAGAGATGTCATACGCACTGCAGAAGAGCTGAGCACATAGCTGGTTGATCTCTCTGGATAGGACATCCTCCCGCAACAGAGCTGGCTATTGAAATGCCTCCTGAAGCTTTCACTGAGCAGATAAAGAGCAAATGGGTTGACACAAGAATTGCAAAAGCTCAGAACCCGGGCAACTAAAGTGACAATCATGTGGCCTAGAGATGGGTCAATCTCATTATAGTTGAAAGACCTATACATGTAGAGGACATGATTTGGAAACCAACAGAAGACAAAGCAGCCCACAAAGACCAGCACAATTTTAGCCAGGCGTTTCCGTGTTTCCATCTGCAAATACAAGGACATTGTCCCATTGGTTAACGTGAGACTGGAGCCAGCCACATGCAAAGTGCCACGGTACAAAAACAGTAAAACTTATCATCGCGTGCAAATGCATCCAGAAGTACAAAAACTATTTTCCTCAACAAAGTGATGATTTTAACAGTTGGAAGAGGCTTATTTTGTTCACTACACTATTTTCATTTAAAAATATTTGACAGCTTATACAGACTAGATGATATATCATTAATAAATTACTACGTCTTCATGTTACAACTATGATCTTAAAAATTCTGTCTTATTTTTAACTATTTTCCTTTTGCTCAAAGTCTTATTGTGTTCACTATAAATATAACTCATTTGTTTGTATTAAATCCACTGAATTAATGACCATAGAACATATTCGAGCTTAGATTTTTTTTTTAAGTCAGAGTATTTTAAATGGGAAAAATGATCTTTTGAAATAGGGTATGACTTTTTTAACCCTTACTCCACACACGCACACAAAAAAACTTGAGATTTAAAGTCCTGACTCACACAAATCTAAAACATCTGACATAACTGTCAATCCTATAAACATTACTACATTAGGTTACCTTTAAAAATAAAAATACTTTTTCTTTCTTTTCATAAACTTTACATACTGTGTTTACTGTTTTAAAGGAAAATCTTCAGGAATGTGATAATGAAATTCAAAGACTGGACCATAGGCGTTTTTAATGCAAAAATCATTTTCTAACATCTAGAGTCCAAAGTTTAGCTCATAGTTGCTAATTTGTTTAAATATTTAAATAAGGCAATATGAATATGAAAATATAATGTATCAAAAGGTATTGAGAGAAGGCAACCTGATATTTTCTGAGCTAAAGCTGTTAGTAGTCAACTAGAATATGGTGAAGAAGAATGGGAAAGTTCAGGATTGACACAGATCTGCCATTGGGGAGTAGCAGTGAGTGGTGACAGCAAACGAGGGTGCAGGTAAAGAGGAGTGTGGCTCAGGATGCAGAATGTGGTCCTCCAGATGTAGCCTGGTGGCATCAGTTAGGCAACCTGGCTATACTAAGGAGGCAGATGTGAACTTTACATTATTGAGCAGTGCCTGCCCTAGCAGGTGGAACGTGGGTGCAAGAATTTCACGGCAATCTGTACTTGGAGATTCATATGCACAGACAGGCTGTTGATGTTGAGATTACTTCTCAGCAGGTGTCAAGCCCAATTACCCAGGCAGAGTTTATAAGTCCCAATAGGGAAATTCACAAAAACAAGGCAGAACAAAGGCCATTTTAAAAAAAGTGGATATGGGGAAGGTAAGAGGAACTCAACTCTAGAAAACAAGGCAAAAACTCAAATACCCAAATTGAGATACCAATTGGATCACAGGGCTCTGAATAAAAGATTGTGAGCCCAGGACCTGGAAATTTTTGCTTCAATGATGCCAGATATTTAGATAATAAATCTATTAATTTGTCTAACAATTACTTTAATGATTGGTTGACCTTTCAAGCCTTTAAAGCAGATGTGGATCTCTGATGAGGATGGTTATCAATAAATAGAGGTGACCTTCCACACAAGAAAACTTTGCCAAATTGTGCTGTTGCTAACATGCCCAAAGCCGCAGCCTGCGCCTCCACCTAGAGCCGAGCAAATTTTAATGATTTGCGATTCAACTTGTTTTCATTCAAATTGGGGACCAGACACCCATAAACTTCCTGTACTGTCACAACCCTCTGGAAGAAGTCCCTCACTAGGAGTGCACAAATGGACAACCCAAAACTGTGTCCCATAAGTACAGTATTTCCATCTCTTTGTGGATTAACACAGTTGGTTTTACCTTAAATTAATACTGTATGATTTTTAAGGAAGAAAGAGTATGTAAGGTGCATGTTGTAATTTTTAAACGAGTAGATAATCTTTATAGGAAAAGCTAATAAGTTGAGTTAGTCCAAGTAGGACTTCAGCACCAGCACACATCTGATCACTTTCACTACTGTCCTGCTGCACTCTGTTCCCAGAGCCTCTCATTCTGGCACCCTACCCAAACCCCATCCCCAGATGCCAGGCAGTGTCCCATAGCCCTTTCCTGTGCATCCTTCTCCCAGACTTCCTGTCATCCTTATCAGATTAATAGGAGAAGAGACAATAATTAAATAGATTTATACTTAAAATGTGAAAAATTTCTGGTTTATTATGTGGTTCTTTGCATAAACATTTGCACATAAAGAAAAGCCTTCAAAGATGTTAAATCCCAGGCTCGGATGGCAGATAAGCAGGAGCTCCATGGGCCTTCACGGAGCTATGACATGGCCACATACTAGAGACATCTCTTCCAGTTGAGGCTAGTGCATGTGCCAGTGCCCTCTGACTCTGTTCTGATCATTCCTTATATTGAGAACCCATAAAATAGAAGACAAAACTGTAGTTACTACATCTGATCAGTGCACCCCAACACACACTTACCAAGCTTACCTGTTTTTTGGTATGTTCGTTATATTCTCCAGGAAGATTATGTGCACTTTTGATTAAAGTCTTTGCAATATGATAATAGTAAATGCTAATAATAGTAAGTGGTATGAGGAAATAGACCAAGAAGATGAGCACTGAATGAATCTTTGGATGTAATTCATCCGTCTGAGGGTAGGGTATACACGCTGTGAAGCTGCCATTTTCCAAGCTACCAATGTGTGCCACTTCAGAAAACACAGCTTCAGGAACCGCCAACAGCACGGAGATGACCCAGATGGCCACAGCCTTCACACAGGTCCACAGCACTGCCCCTGATGTCTGGATGTCCATGGGGTTTACAATGGCTCTGTACCTGTGAAAACAGTGTGTCTCAAATCACTCTCTTAAGAAAGAAAAGGTAAGGAAAAGAGAGAGAGAGGGAGAGAAGGAGAGGAGGGAGAGAGGAAGGAAGGGTGTAAGAAGGGAGGGAGAAAGAAAGGGAGAGAAGGAGAGAAATCTTACTTGTGCCGAAATTAACTACAGTGGAGTCATTTAAAAACGGAGTCAGAGCTGCCCTTCCAGAGAAACTGATTTGCTGGCTTGAACCCCGGACTGGGCCAAAACAGCAGTTGTTTTACAAGCAATTGTTTGAGAAGTCAGCAGGAGGACTGCCATCCTGGTCACAAAGACCAAGAACTGTGGACTTTCTGAAAACAGAATCCACAGTCAACCAACCTTTAGCCAAGACTAGTTCTCTGCCTCCAGCTCCAATTAAAATTCTTTTTAGTACAAACCTCCCTTCCTTGTCTTTAAAAGCCCCTGGCTTTTACTCCCTAGCCGAACACATTTTTGGATTTCCACTTGAATCCGTGTCTCCTGAATTGCAATTCTAGTTGCCCAAATAAATATCTGCTGTTTAAATTGTAGCGATTTTTTCCTCAGTTGACAATTGCGAAGACAGAGGTGTCAACACTCCATTGTTCTCTGACTGTTTTGTAGAGAATGGATTACCTACTATCCCTGGTGTCTTTCTGTCTGCAAGTCATTCCACTATTTATTAGCACAGAAGACAGGAAGAGAGAGGAAAGTATTTTAAATTGCCATTTCCCAAATTGCAGTAGTTTGCTTACCTCTCTCATAAGGTTTTTCTAAATCGACATACTACAAAAGAAATTCAGAAAATAATCCCATTTACAACTACAAGAAAAAGCATAAAATACCTAGGAATAAATTTAACCAGGAAGGTGAAAGAAATATACACTGAAAACTTCTTTCAAAACTTTTCATCATCAGATTCAATGTAATCCCTATTAAAATACCAATGGTATTTTTCACAGAACTAGAACAAAGAATCCTAAAATTTGCATGGAACCACAAAAGACCTCGAATAGTCAAAGCAATCTTGAGAAAGAACAAAGCTGAGGTACAATACTTCCTGATTGCAAACTATACTACAAAGCTATAGTAATTAAAATGCTCCCTAACAGTAAAGAAAAAAGCTCCTTGAACCCAGAGCCTGTGTCTTGCTCACTGTTGCTTCTAAAGTGTATGACACAATGCCTAACCCATAGTAGGTTCTCAGTAAATGTTTGTTGTACTAACTAGGAAATGTGGTCTGAGCAACAAGGAGATCACTAGTTAGAGCAGATTTGGTAGAGTGGGGTGGTAGTGGGATGTTACGTTGAGGTGAGAGTAGAGGTGAGAGATGGAGACACAGCCTAGTCTACTGACGCCCAAGCTGGATCAATATTCAGAATCACCTGGAGAACTGAGAAAAGGTAAAGAGTGTTAGCTTTCTCCCCAAGACTTACCAGTGCAGAGTCTCTAGGATGTAAAACGTGAGATTCTGCATTTTACTAAGATTTTTCAAGTGATTCTGAATATAAGCCAAGTTTAGAAACCCCTTTTCAGAAACCCACAAGCTTCCTGTGAGGTTGTCTAGTGCAATGGACACACATTCAGTACTGGAGTATCTGGAATCCAAAAGTTCAGTGTTTGCAGAATCGGATGCCTTCCCTTTACGATATGTCACATCATGTTTTAACAGTATTGATATAGCAGTAAAACTTATTCCGAATAAAATTACTAAATCTATCATTCGAAAGTATTTATGCATCATTGTACAATAGAATGTCTAAAACTATAAATAACTTTAAAAAATAATGTAATAAGTGGGATGTCCGTTTGGAAAGGTTAATAAATACTGGATTCGATTACACAGGAGTCAACAATTCTATTTGCTCTTTACCCCCCAAAAAATCACTTTGCTTTTAACCTATTGAAGTGTATGACTTGAATGACACATGAGCATTTCTTGTGAAGGAGAATAACAATGACAAGCCATGTTGATGAAGACAACAGGTTGGAATTAGCCAGACTACGGTTAAAGGAACTGGGGAAAGACTGCAAAAGGCAGACAGATCGTCTTCATTAATTCTGCAATAGGCTAATTTTGCTCTCCACTTCCATGCCTAGTTTCTGACAATTAACAGATAAGAAATAGTTCATTGAGTTTGAAGCTAGCAATGTTAAATTGGGTCATCATTTTGGAGCATGGATTGAAACCGAAAATAACCTTAGTCATGTGGACACATGAGAATAAAGGAACAAAAAAACCAAAGTTTTTAAAAAAGGAAATTTAATGAAGACATGTGTCCTTTTGTATAGAAAATAAACAAGTGAACTTTGAAATACCAGGACGTCAGTATATTTGGGATGTGAGTGAGGTTCTCCGAAGAGCTGAAATAATCTACAGCTTATATAAAATATTATTTAAATCCTACACATTGACTGAAAAGTAAAAATAATAATGAATGCAAATATACAAAGATAGCATATAACCATTTATCTTGTACCAAATACCTGACCAACTTTTCCAGAAGAGAATCATCTACACCTCATTTTAGCAGCAATTTTTCTAGAAATTCAATAAATAAACAATTAAATAAGGATTCACTAAAAAATTCTTAGTAAGAACTTGTTGAGAATGAGAAAATTAAAATGCAATTAAAATTATTAAAGACTTGGGGAAATTGTTCAACCCTCCTGAGGAATCAGCAATTGGAAGGTCAAAGGTAAATTGTTATTTTTGTTTTTGGAAGACACAAATAGGAACCGTACTGCTGGCGACAACTAACAAAAAGGAAAGTGTTGAACTTCCCTGTCTGCCCCTACGGCTCAGCCTGGACAGATGGCCCCCTACTTAAATGCATCACTACAGGCAAAAGAATGAGAGCTACATCGTGGAGTATCTTTGTTCCACCGAGAAGTGGCCAAAATAGAACCAGTATAAATTACTAGATGAGATATTTGTCTCAGATGTGGTAACAGGGAAGAGTGCGACAGGCAGAGCACCAGAGCACTGAGCTGCGCATCTGATTGCCTCACCAATTACCAGCGTCCTTCTCCTCTTTGGGTCTCTCTCTGCTCGATACTCAGAGAGGGAGCTAATAAGATCCTATCAACGCTACCTCAGGTCTACAGTAGAAGATATTATTCCTGTTTTGCAAATGAGGAAAATTCTGCCTTATGGGCATGTGTTTTGTACTGTTTTATCAGTTTCTCCAACTAGAACATTTGGACATAACAGATGTAGGACTAGCATCCAGATGCCATAAACCCCTGCCTCGTGCATCCCCTGCTTATTTATAGTGTGTCCCAAAGGTTTCAGACCAAGGTATATGAATCATCTTTAGAAGTAAGAAATAATACTAAGGTAATAAATAAAGTAATATACAAATTATGAATATGAATATTGTGAGAATTATACAGCACCTCTCTAATTCAATGTTTGAGATTATCCTTCTGAGGAGAAGAGAAAGGGAAATAAGCTGGAAGTATTGAGACCAATGAGTAAAAGATATCTGATTATTGGGTATTGGATATTATTGGAGTCAAATATAACAGCTTTTAACAAAAAACCATATAAATCCTCATTAAAACTAACAAATTAAGTGCACGTCACAATTTGCTCTGTTGCTACGGATATATAAAAATAACAATTGAGCAGTTGTCAGGGAAAGCAAATTTTCCTTTCTGCCTCGGCAGCTAGAAAACTCTCAAACATATGACTCACACTTTGTGAAAGTATGGATTGCCTTATATTCTTCAACTTTTATTTTCCCTAAACCTGGATTTCCTGCCTTTTTTGTTCCTGTTGCATGTTTTTTGTATCTCTAGCTTTAAGCTTCCTTAAATCTTTTGGAACAAATTAAAAATAAATGTCATCGCTCTGGTGACATGAGGGGGAGTGTGGACTTTTCTCTTAAATATGTACGGCCAGCCTGAACTCTCCAAGGAGTTTGGAAGCACACAGAGCACCAATCTCAGCACCCACTGAGAAGCAAGGGCTTCTCAGCGCAGTGTCCAGAGCTGTGCACCAGAGAAGAAAGCCTCTCCAGTGAGGGCCAGCCCGCTAATCAGGACCTGAACTTCAATCAGGAGTTTTCATGAAAAACCAGCAAACAGACAAGGGCGCTCCCTCCCAGCCCTGCATGAAGACTGATGGAAAGCTTCATAAGGGCCGGGGAGTGTTGACCTAAGGCCTACATCTGATGTATCTCAATGCTTCTGCAAAGAAGAATGCTGAGAGAATAACTGTTTGCATCGGTATAACATCCAAATAATGTTAAAGACTCCAAGCTCATACCTAAGAGAACTAGCTCAGTTATGGAATTAAATCTGATTGCCCTAACTAGTGATGGAAAGCTTGAAATTACTAGTACATTAGCACATTAGTCAGATTTGGTACAATGTTATTTTTGAATTCAATCCAACATTGAAGATGCAGTATCAGAAAAAGAACATAATCTGATACATTAAATTAATATCAATTTCATTTTATTGTTTTATAGATTTTTAAAATTTAACTTATAAATGCGTTTCGGTTAGCAATTACAATAAAAACAGAATAATGAATTGATACCTAGCTTTACATTTGTAAATATATAAAATTATAAAGTTTATAGTTTAGCACTAGGAATCTATGGAAATTGTTTCCTATAAAGGAAAAAGGAGAACCCCATTCCTACAAGTTATTTGCATTTTAATTATGGACTTCGAGACACCAGACAATCTTCAAGAATCAAAGAAATAGTATTCTAAGTTTGGAAATGCAGCTACTGGAATAGACAGCGAGGGAGATATCTACACAGACAACCATAAGCAAAGTGTGGCCTGTGGGGCTCCTCCTACCTGGTATCACAACACACATGTCCCAACAGGGTGGGGGAGAGATGTGTGTGTGTAAAGTTGTTAGAAAGAGAATACGCAAATACCTTTAAGCAACAATTTAATGTGAGCAAGCAAAAAGAAGTCTATTTTCAAAATAGTGACAAAAAAATTCATCAAGATAAAATTAAACTGAGATCACCTGTATCACCATTTCAGATCATGCACTGTGTCTCCTCCCCCGATTCTGGTTATGATCCACCTCTGAGGCACAGCTACTGTGGACACAAATGATTTTCCCTAAGGATGTATCAGCTGAAGCTCCTCGAAGGAATTTGCAAGTCAAGGATTAATAATCACAAGTACCAAAAAGTATCACCCCTATCATCCTTTGGCCATATCACATGAGGCGATTTATACCTCAAAGAAGATTCATAGATATCGTATATTTTATTTCAGTCTCTGCTGATGTCATCCAGCAATGCTGTCATCAATGATATATAACACTAAGTCTCCACTTCACATTGGGATAAGCTTTCCAAAATCTAATTATCTTCCTATTTCTACATTACCGTGATCTCTATTTCTAAATTCTCTACCTTTATTTTCTTAGACAAAGACACTTAGGCCATCTCGTGGAAATAGAATATTTGGTTTAACAAACAATTGAATTTATTGTTTGAAAATTACAATAACAGGGTTTTCCCCCCCTGTTGTTACAACTACCACTTAATTTTGAATTCAAGTGTTTCTTTTATTTTGCAGTTACATTTTATGACTTGCTTTCATTCTATTGAATCTGATGAATAGGCTTTTATAGTCATTTTTCTTTCTTCACTCTTGAGTTCTTTGTTTTAAATTTCACTTTTCAGTCTGCCATTAAATAAGAAACACCATTAAAGATTTCGTATACTTGGGAAAGTAAAGATGTGGCTTAACGGTGAAGAAGCCAGGCTTTGAGCTGGCTTCAAATCCTGACTCCTTCCTGTGAGGTCAGGAAATTGTGGCTGAATTTCAAGCCTTACATTTCTTCAGTTTAAGACGGAAATGATAATAGTACCTTCTTCATAGTGTTGTGAGGATAACAAACTCACAGAAAAGTTCACACAGTGCTAAGTGCAACTAGTCTTGTACTTGTTCCCAAATCTAGGAGAAATCAAAACATTTGGTGAGATAAAGTGTGATCAAGGACTTATCAACGCTTGATTACTATGTTCTGGAAGAAAAATAGAAGTGTAGACAATGTACAACAAAACATCTCCAAATCATTTTAAGTGAATATTGAAATGTATTATGTAATTTTATCACCACTGATTCCAGTTCCTTAACTTACATTTCCAAAACATACCTTGATGGGCAAGCACAGCCTCTGGACCAAGTAGAAGAGGCAACTCACCTTTATTTATCCTTATTGTTAAAGTATCTATGCTGTATTTACAAAGTACATGATACATGTAAGAACAAAAAAGTCAGTAAATGCATGAGAAATAACATTTCTTCTGACCTTGATCAGAGCCGATTTACCTGTGTGCCTCCATGACAATAGATAGAGCAAAGTAGTGTGAAATAAACTCAAGCCCTGGGAATTGCTACTAATATTACCTTTTAAAAATGAAAGCACATGATAGCAATTTTAGCTATTCATTGTTTTATTCTAATCATTAAGTAGAATTTTAACTTTCTAATTAAAATCTGCCCCATAAAGAAGAGCAGCTAAAAATTCATGTTTTAATTATGGAATTAAAAAAAAAACTTTTTAAAAGATAATAGAAATGGTGTCATATAAACAAAGTGAGGTACATAATTTACCCACAGTCACCCATTTTTGCAGGATTGTGGCTTTAGAGAGACTCTTACACAAACTACAAAGTCAACAGTATTCGGTTTAAAAAGATAATGGCTCTCAATTCTCCACTGAATATTGTCTTTAATACGTAAATTAAAAGGAGGAAAGTGAACACAACCTTAATCATCCAAGTTAAATTCTTTATCTAAATAGCTTAAGTCAACCCCCTAACCCTAAGAGAATTAGACCAGGCTCCATGCAAGGATGCCTAATTGGACATTTTGCCCCAAGCCCCATCCAGACACCCCTTCTGCTTAAATCCCCGAAACCATGATTAGAGAGGGCCTGGCGTAGGGGCACTGGACCAAGTCAGCAGTCCTGGATTCTCCTCTGAGCTCTGCAAGGAGACTTATATCCCCTGGGCCTCAATATCTTCACCTGGAAAATGGCACAGTTGAATTAGTTGATCTGCAAGATAGAATAATGGATACTTCCCAACCTTAAAATATGTGAAAAGCAGATTTGATATCAAAGGTGTATTTTTACAGCACTGTAAAACACAGATAACTGAAATTTGGTACCTACTTGTTCATGAAAAAAAAAAAAACTATCACTTGAGGCATTAAAACAAAAAGGATGTGTGAAGTCATCTGTCTGAAGAACATTTACTATTCTAGTTGTTTTTACTTCAAATAAACAGCAGAATTTGGGTAATAAGTGTAAATGATGCTTCCCTTATTTGGAAAAAAATCAAAATCAAACATTTCCCTAATATTAAGTTTGTGTAAGAGTATCTCTAAAGCCACAGTCCTGTAAAAATGGGTGACTTTGGGTAAATTATGTACCTCACTTTGTTTATATGACACTTTATTTATATGACACCTAATATTAAGTCAGGTTATTAAACCACTGAGTAAGGGTAGTGCACTTCTAAGGTTTTAGGCAAACACAAAAAGCTTCCACAAGATAGCTGCGCTTTTGTACATTAATTCTATAGCATCTCTATGAAATAGATACCAAAGATTCCCAAAGTGCGTGGAGGGGTGGGGGAAGAATAGGATACGCAATATTAAAACTACTTTCAAACTAATGCAATTTTAATGATTTTAAAAGTAATAATTTTCTCATATTTTTTCAAGCTTCACATCTCAGTCCACTTTAACTCCTTTTTACTCCCTAACTCCCAGATGGACTCTGACCCTCCCTCTCCCAGCCACTCCTTTCTCCCGCCTCGCCCCAGGTGCGCTCCAGGTCTCCCGCCCCTCTGCACCGCGTTTCCAGGCCGCCTCACCCCTCCCTGTGCCCTTACCTGTCGGCGCTGAGGGCAGTGAGCGTGAACACGGACACCCCCACGGAGGTGAGCTGGATGACCGGAATCAGCTTGCAGCCCACCTTACCGAACATCCACTCGTCGAAGAAGTAGCGGGAGGCGTCCACCGGGACGCAGGTGAGCAGCAGCAGCACGTCCCCGAAGGCCAGGTTAGAGATGAAGATGTTGGGGACGCTCCTCATGGCGCTGTTGGTGATGAAGATCTTCACCAGCACGATGTTGCCCAGCAAGCCCACCGAGATGATGAGCAGGTAGAGGGACGGGATCACACAGCGGAGCACCAGTTCAGCGGTGGTCCGGTCCGGGACCTGCAGGAAATCCCCTTCGGACACCCCGGGGATGAAGCTGCTCTGATTCGCTCCCGCGGTCTGGGAGAGGTTGGAAAGAGAGTTGGGGGGCATGGTCTCCTTTCCGGGAGAGTCCGCTGGAGTTTTCATGCGCCCAGGTGGTCTGAAAAGTGCAAGGCGCAGGACTCGGGCTTCATCGACCTCCCTCCCGCCGGCACAAGTTTACTGCCGTGGGGGATGAGACACACCGCTGCGTCCCGGGGAGGACAGGGCCAGGAGGGAAGTCTGTCTGTCCACACGCCCCGGAGCTTCACTCCTAGAAGGGACACATTGGCTCCTGCTGCCTCCGAATTAAAAATAAAATAAAATAAAATAAAAAGGCACAGCAGTTGCGTCTTTGTTCCAGTCTCCAATGGTTTGTTCTTGGTTGTAGTTAGCAGAGAATAGCCCTCCTGCCCGACCGTTCGCTGGGAGGGGAGGAAGTCATCCTGGCGCTGTCCAGCGAACGCCAGCTGAAACACCGGGAACCAGCATGGGGCGGCTGGCACTTCCCTCGTCCCACAGCTTTGCTCGTGTTTCATGCAGCTCTTGTTGTCTTGTGTGGAATTGGAGGGGATCTGAGTCCTCTCTCTCACACTGCGTCCCTATATACATCCATCCTACCCGCCTCCGAGCGGGAGGAGCCCCAGACAAGAAGTTTTGTGAACCTCTGAGGACTGGGTGGTGGTGCTGGCGAGTGATGCTGTATCACTGAATTTAGGAAAGAGAACAGGTGACAAAGGATGAAGGAAATGAATGGAACTCCCTCCCCACTCTTCTACCTTGATCCACTTTTCTCACCCCAGATATGGAAACTCTTTCCTGCAGCTGGCATGTTAGTCTTAAACTTATATTTTATTGAAATATAGTGTGCACAAAGTACACAATTCTTAAGGGTACAGCTCAATCTAACCACAATTCAGAACCTACAATCTAACCACTATCCCCTAAAAGAACCACTGTCATTCCGCCTTGTATCATCTAAGATTAATTTGCCTTCTCTTGAGCATCATTCAGTATGTACTCTTGGATGCAACTTTGGTCACTCAACATTGTGTCTATGAGATCTACCCAGACTTTCGTGTGCAGAATTTTCCACTGCTGTTCAGTATTCCATTGTATAAATATATCACTGTTTATTTACCCCTTCTAATGTTGATTGGCATTTGGGTTCCTTATAATTTTAGCTAGTTTGAATGATGTTTCTACAAATATCCTTGTATACGTGTTCTGGTGCACACTTGAACAAATCACAGACGTGTATTTGCTAGGTCACATTGATTGAGTATGTTCAATTTTAGCAGAAATTGACAATTTTCCCCAGTGAACTCCAACTTCTTTTTCTGTTGGAAACTTGCTTAACAACATTTATTAAGGCTAAATAAAGCATGCCTAGGACTGAGAAATGCCATCCCTAAATATGTACTCTAATATATACCTGATACACAGTTTTAAGTAGGATGTACTTAAGAACAAAATAACTTCCCAAATCAACAGCATCTGAGTCTAATATAAACTTCTCAGAAATGGCAAAGTTCTGAAGTTAGTCAAATAACATTCTTTTCATTAGGAAAAACATTTGGCTAGTTCTTGGCTATTAAATGACAAAATTGTGTGATAACAAGGAAATTAGCAAGGACTACCTACAATGATGTGGCCATAAACTGATGAAATATGCCAAACCATTTGTAAAATTTAAGTAGATTTTTCAGATACTGTCAACCAAGAGCAGCATTTAATAATCATAGTTGAATTAAACAAGGTAAACATTTGCATTGTAATCAATTTAATGTTTTCTAACTCAATTACAAGTCCTTATTATACTCTTCTTGGAGTTCATTACTTAAAATAATCTGTTATTAAATTAAAGTTGACTAAATATAATGTTCATATACATACATCTTAAAATATGTATAAGAATATTCTATTTGTATTTATATATCTTATATATATATCTCAAAGCAATTAATATTACATATAAGTTGAGATATGTCTTTAGGAGTTTTATCTTCAAAGTTATTTAAGGTTTCCCTTTTAACATCCTATTGCATTATGCAAAGTAAGTTACTAAAGCAATCTTCTAAATTATGAAATTTCTCAGACTTTCAAACTGCAACTATATCATTTTAATCTATTTCATATGAAAACATCTTGAAGTCTAAATTGCTGTGTGAATATCTATATTCTCTTCCGATTATGTCTGTGTGATGCTAAGCATTTAGATGAGAAAAATATTTAGTCTAAAGATGGATTAACAAATATCTAGTTGCTTGGCATTGTAGAAATAAGACATCTAGATTGTCAAATTTTTTCCATTTCAAGTGAATCTATATGTATTTACTCAAAGCCTTGGGTCCATGAGAGTAGAGAGCACAATGAATGTTTTAATAATGATGGTTTTACTGATACTTTATTAAGTATATTATAAAGTTCCTGTAATTCTGCATGCATTATTTAGATGCATAACCAAATTTCATGTAGGTACATAGGTAATGTCTCATTTGTGTAGAATCAATACACATCAGAAATAAACATCTACTGAAAGGACAGGCTTTTTTATTGTAATCAATGTTTCATATACCACACTAGGTCCCTTAAAGTCATATCTAATTTTATGTTTATAAATATTCTTGGAGGTAGGTATTTGAGTCTTAAATTTACATACAAGACAGTAGAAACTCATAGAGGCAAGATAACTTGCTTAATTTCATAAAGACCTCAGTAAAATTGCATTTTGAAGCTTATTACACTTGATTTAAAAATCTATTGTATCTCATTGTTCCCAGAGAATAAAATTGCCTGGAAAAATGTGGTTTCTGTATAATTGAAAAATGCGTTTTTTTATATGGAGGTATTCAATGTTTATAAAACATACTTTATGCATTTCATTGCTAAAACTTTATTCTATGTGTTTGAGAAGGAAGAGGAAAACATTAGCATGTAAGGAGAGACATGGAGAATATAAAAAGACATATATCGAATTTTTACAGAGGAAAAAACAATGTCTATGATGGAAAATAAATTTTATAGGATTAACAGCAGATCAAACTCTGTAGAAGAAAAGATTAGTGAACTTAAAAATGTAGTAATAGAAACTATCTAAAATGAAATACAGACAGAAAAAGACTGAGAAAAAATGAACGGAGTCAGTGCACTGTAGGATAATAACGTTTGGTGGCCCAATATATCTGTTTTATACCTCCGAAGGATAGGAAGAAAAGGAACAAATGAAAAAATATTTGAAGAAATAATGATTCCAAATTTTTCAAATATAATGAAACTTAAAAGCTCTTATTTCCAAGAAGCTCAACAAATCTCAGGCAGAAGAAACATGAAGAAAATTCTACCAAGATGAAAAACTAGAAGCATTCCCACTAAATCAGGCACAGGGAAAGAATGGCCTTCCTCTCCACTTTTTTCAACATTGTGCTGGAAGTTCCAGCTAATGCCATAAGACAAGAAAAGGAAATGAAAGGTATTACATAGGAAGAAATAAAACTCATTGTTTGAAAATAGCATGATTGCCTATGTAGAAATCCAAAAGAATCAACAAAAAACACCTTCAACTAATAAGTGACTACAGCAAGGTTGTAGGATACAAGGTTAATATATAAAAGTCAATTGCTTTCCTATATACCAGCAATGGGAACAAGTGGAACTTGAAATTTAAAACACAACACATTTACATTAACACCTCCCAAAATAAAATACTTAAAAAAAAACTAACAACATTTTATAAGACCCGTATGCACAAAACTAGGAAAGTCTGATGAAAGAAATAAAGGAACTTAAATGAATGGAGAGATATTTCAAGATCATGGCTAGGAAGACTCAATATTTTCAAGATGCCACTTCTTCCTAAGTTGATCTATATATTCAGTGCAATCCCAATCAAAATCTTAACAAGTTAATTTGTGGATATTGACAGAATGATCCTAAAGTTTATATATGGAGAAGCAAAAGACCATAGAATATTGAAGGAGAAGAACAAAATCAGAGAATTGACACGACCCAACTTCAAGACCTACTACAAAGCTACAGTGATCAAGACAGTGTGGTATTGGTGAAAGAATAGACAAGCCAAATAGAGAGCCAGAAATAGACTCACATAAATATAGCCAACTGATCTTTGACAAAGGAGCAAAGCAACACAAGGGACTAAAGATATTCTTCCAACAAATGGTGCTGGAACAACTGGACATTCACATGCAAAAAAAAAAAAAATGAATGTAGACGCAGATGTTACACCCTACACAAAAATTAATCCAAAATGGGTCATCAACCTAAGTGTAAAACACAAAACAATAAAACTCCTACAAGATAACATAGGAGAAAACCTAGATGACCTTGGATATGGTGATAACTTTTTAGATAGAACACCAAAGGCACAATCCAAGAAAGAAAGAACTGATAAGCTTGACTTAATGAGATAATCAAAATTAAATTCTTCTGCTCTTCAAAGGACACTGTCAAGAGAATGAGAGGGGCTGGCCTGGTGGCGCAGCAGTTAAGGGCACAAGTTCCGCTTCGGCAGTCCAGGGTTCGCCGGTTCGGATCCCGGGTGCAGACATGGCACTGCTTGGCACGCCATGCTGTGGTAGGTGTCCCACATATAACGTGGAGGAAGATGGGCACAGACGCTATCTCAGGGCCAGTCTTCCTCAGCAAAAAGAGGAGGATTGGCAGCAGTTAGCTCAGGGCTAATCTTCCTCAAAAAAAAAAAAAAGAGAATGAGAAAACAAGCCATAGATGTGGAGAAAATATTTGCAAAAGACACAGCTGATAAATGACTGTTATCCAAAATACACAAAGGACTCTCAAAACTCAACAATAAGAAAATAAATAACCCAAACAAAAAATGGGCAAAAGATCTAAACAGAGAGCTCACCAAAGAAGAGATACAGATAGCAAATAAGCATATGAAAAGATGGTCAACATTATATGTCATTAAGGAACTACAACTTAAAGCAACAATGAGATACCACTACACATTTTTTTTTTTAGGAAGATTTGCCCTGAGCTAACATCTGATGCCAATCTACCTCTCTTTGCTTGAGGAAGATCATTGCTGAGCTAACATCCCTGTCAATCTTCCTTTATTTTATGTGGGATGCCACCACAGGGTGGCTCAGTGAGTGGTGCTACGTCCACACCTGGGATCTGAACCTGTGAACTATTGAAGCAGAGCATTCGAACTCAACCACCATGCTGCTGGGCTGGCCCCTACACACTTCTTATAATGGTCAAAATCCAAAACGCTGATGACACCAAATGCTAACAAGGATGTGGAGCAACAGGAATTCTCATTTATTGCTGGTGGGAATGCAAAATGGTACAGCCACTTTGAAAGACAATTTGGCAGTTTCTTAAAAAAACTTAATACACTCTTACCATAAAATCCAGCAATTGTTCTCCCTGACATTTAATCAAATGAGTTGAAAACTTACATCCACAAATACATGGATGTTTATAGCAGCTTTATTCATAATTGCCAAAACTTTGAAGCAACCAAGATATCCTTGAGTTGGTGAATGTATAAATCGTAATATATTCAGACAATCAAATATTATTCAATACTATAAAATGAGCTATCAAGCCATGAAAAGATATAAAGGAAACAAGTGCACATTAAGGGGAATAAGCCAATCTGAGAAGACTACATATTGTATGATTCCAACCTCATGACATTCTGGAAAAGGAAAAGCTATGGAGACAGTAAAAGGATCACTAGCTGCCAGGGGTTAGCCTAGTGAGGAAGGGGAGAAAAAGAGGCA